GGGAGGGAGGGGGCGGTCCGTTCTGCAGGGGAGGGGGGTCCGCTCTGGGAGGAGGGGGAGCTGCAGGAGGGCGGGTCTGCTCTGCAGGGGGGGGGGGGGGGCAGGGAGGGAGAGGGGGATCCGCTCTGCAGGGGGGGGGGGGGGGGCTGCAGGGAGGGGTCCGCTCTGCAGGGGGGGGTGCTCTGAAGGGGGGGGGGTGCAGGGGAGGGGGGGTTCGCTCTGCAGTGGGGCGGGGGGGCTACAGGGGCGAGGTCCGCTCTGCAGGGTGGGGGGGGGGGGCTGGGCTGCAGGAAGCGGAGGGCGTTCTGCAGGGGATGGGGGGGTCCGCTCTGGGAAAGGGGGGGGGGGGGGGGGGGGGGGCGAAGCATTGAATTAGATCGGAAATGAGGTCCCCCCCCCCGAAGCACTGAATTAGGTCGGAATGAGATCGGAAATGAGGTCCCCCCTCCCCGCAGAGCGAAGCTTGAGCGAGCTCAAGCCCACGCTCTCAGAAACTCACACGCCGGATCGGCGGATTCTTCGTTGAGAATCCGCCTGCAGGGGGACATGCCCGACCTTGCATCGGGTATAGCCAGGACCCCAGGTAAGGGGGCCCAGTTAGTGGTAGGGCCCCAGAGCCCGTACGTTGGGCAGAATCACTGAACCAGGTCTGCCGTAGCTCGTTTTTTTTTTCGGGTGACGGCAGTTTCGGTTAGCGGAACGGAGCGGGCGGGCGTCCCCCAGTACAATCACTAAACTTGGTCCCACTAAACCCAGTTCTGCCAACGCGCGACTGAGGAAGATGCAGAGACATTCCCCAAAAAATGTATGGGGGCTGTTTTTGGACTATTTGGGGCTATGCTTGAACATCGTTGGAGTGTGTTTTCTTGTCGAAAGTCCGCCTGTAAGGGGACCTGCCCGACCCAAAAGTAACACCCCGTGCGCCGGCGACGTGCTTCGCCAAGTTCAAGCAGTGGCGAAGCGTCCTGGCTCGCCGATCGGTCGACCAAATAATGTTGTAAACATCTGCTGTGGCCTGCACGAAACGTTCTCAGAACGTTTCTGGTTGAGACCGTCTTGTTTTAACACACCGGGCTTACGTCCTCAGAACCTTGTTTCTTTTCTCAGAGCATTTTTGGGGTCTAAGAGCACTTCGTGATAGGCCTATATCGGGCCGAACGAAAGGAGAGGATAAGGAAAGGGGGGGTGCGAAATCTGCTGCACGCAGCTGGTTTCGGCCCCGCCGCCGGGCCCGTTCCTCGATACATGGGCGCCTCCGGCGCCGGGAGGCGCTGGGAAAATCAGTTGCGTGAGCTGATTCTCACCCCCCCCTTTGCTATCCCCCTCTTTCGCCCGGCCCGACACCGGCGAGGGTGGCCCAGAGAGGTTCGCCGAGCGCGCCGGGGGCGACTCGCAGGCAGCGCGAAGGCGAGCATAGCCGGACCGACGTGTGAGTTGGAGAAGGATCGGGGGAGCGTAAGACCCGGGTTTGCCAGGACTCGGGTTCGCCATCGTTTTTTGACGACCGCGACTCGGATTTTGACGAGGAGGAGTTTCGTGGGATGTCTGCAGCGGGAGGCCTCGTCAAAATGCAGGCTCGGCCTCGTCATTTTTGTTGACGACCTCGTCGGGGATTTCCGAGTCCCCTGTACCCGGGTCTTACGTCTCCCCGAAAGGAGAAAAGGTGCCCAGACTTCTACCCTCCGCTCGTTTTACACTTTTGGGGGGCGGCTCCGGCTGCCGCCGCCGCGTTCGCCCCGAAGTCCTGGTCGGAACGCACCCCAGGAGAGAGCTCCAGGGAGTAGTGGTATCGGTACCTCTTGGTTCGGGGAGGGTGCCCTAATTCAGAGCGTGAATTACCTACCCCGCTTTCGCTTCCAGGCAAAACCAAGCCATACCACGCGCCTCCTCGTCAAGCAGCCTGACCAGTACAGGCTGCAATTTGGCATCGTTTGGTATCTCTTGGAAGCGAGGGTGGTCAAAAGCGAGGTAGTATTGTTTTCCCCCTACTAATGTTGTTCGTGCTTGTTCGATGTTTTTAAGCATCCTACCCCTGCTGCCCTGGCTGGCCCTTCCGGCCCGCTCACCGCGGAACTCTTCCACCAACGCGGCTGCTCCCTCCTCCCCTCCTCGCTCTCTTGTACGCCGGACAATTTGCCTAACTTTTGGTGCCCCCGATTCGCCTCACGCTGGTGCGGATCGTCTCTGCCTCGCCGACGACGATAAAGTTCTTGTGCGTCCCGAGGGGGGGGTACGCCCGAATGATCTTTTGCTTCGAGGTGTTTGGGCCGGCGGAGGGTCACGTTCTGGGAGGGTGTGTTCCTGCCCTGGGTCCGACTGTGCTGGCCCGAGAGATGCTCTCATCCTCCATCCGCCACTCCTCAAAACGATCTGCCGGCCCCTGCATGGGATGATGCACGCGTGGAAGGAAGTGGACTCGGGCAGCGAAGGCCGACACAAACATAAAAAAAACTCGGAGGTCCGCGCGGAGTTCTCGGATCGACGCTTGGCCCCGCCGGAGGCGCCGCCGGGGGGGCCCAGCGCCGATCCGAGAGATCCGCGCGGACCTCCGAGTTGTTATGCTTATGTCAGTCTTCGTTGTGTCATTCTTCGTGGTGCATCTTCGTCATGTGTCGCCCGTTGTGCCCGAGCTTCCTGCTGGCCGCAGGAGCTTCGTCAGTCTTCGCCCGCTCTGCATCCGCTGTGTCACTCTTCGTCCCCCTGCGGGGCCGACCCGAAGCGCGCTCCGCAGCCACTCCTGCCCCGACCCCTCCTCACCACCCACCAAACCACCCCAACCCAACCCGAAGGCTCAGATTTACCCTCGATTTCCAGTGGGGGGGGTTCGGGGAACATCGAAAAAACGCGTGGAACCCGCACCCCCCCCAACCCGAAATTCGGGTCAAATTCGGGTCTTCGGGTTGGGTTGGGGCGGTCTGGTAGGCAGTCACCTCCTGCCCTGGCGCCTGCCAGCAGCTCCGGGTCCGACGCTCGCTCGCCCAGGCGCCCTGCCGGCCGGCCGAGGCGGAGGAGGAGGAGGAGGAGGAGGAGGAGGAGGAGGCGGAGGAGGAGGAGGAGGAGGCGGAGGAGGAGGAGGGGGAGGGGAGGAGGTAGGAGGAGGAGGAGGAGGAGGAGGAGGAGGAGGACGGAGGAGGAGGAGGAGGACGAGGAGGAGGAGGAGGAGGAGGGGGAGGAGGGGGAGGAGGAGGAGGAGGGCGAGGAGGAGGAGGGAGGAGGGGGGAGGAGGAGGAGGAGGAAGGGGAGGAAGAAGGGGGAGGGGGAGGAGGAGGAGGAGGAGGAGGAGGGAGGAGGAGGAGGGAGGAGGAGGAGGAGGAGGAGGAGGGGAGGAGGAGAGAGGAGGAGGAGGAGGAGGAGGAGGAGGGGCGAAGCTCCTGCGGCCAGCCCACGAGGGCTTCGGGCGTCCGTGGGCTCCGCGGGGGCCCCGGCGCCTCGGAGGCAGCGCGAGTGCGAAGACGTTGGCCCTCGAGGCCTGCTCGTCCTCCATCCCGCCACCGACGCATGAGCACCACTGCCATGGTCCCTCGCGCGCTCCCTCGCCCCTGGTCTGCCCGTTCTGCTTGCCCCCGTTTCCCAGGATCCTGCCCTCGTGCGCCCCAGAATACCCCCCCCCCTCCCTTCTGCGCCCCGTTCCCCCTTCCCCCCTCCTCGCTGTGCCCACCCCGCCCTTCCTTCCTCCCTTCCCTGCAATCCCTCACATTTCACTTTACGCCCTCACTCCCACCTCTCTCTCTCTCTCTCGGCCACGCGCACAGGGCTTCTAAGAAGCAGCCTCCTTCTAAGAGGCCTCCCCCCCTCCCCGTATCCCCCAGCCAGTTGCAAGCGCGCCGCCAGCAGCTCCCTCTCTCTCTCTCTCTCTCTTCTTCTCCTCCTCCTCCTCCTCCTCCCTCCTCCTCCTCCTCCTCCACCTCCTCCTCCTCCTCCTCCTCCTATTTTTTTCTCCTCCTCCTCCTCCTCCCGCCTCTTCCTTCCAGAGATCGATCGTGATTCTTTCAACACCGGGTCCCCGGAGGTCTCGACCCATTCCCCTGACGGTTTTGCATCCTGTTGTCTTTGACGGCCCCCAGGCCCGGCGAGGGCCCCTAGGGCCGAAATGTGCTAAAAACCTCCGCCATGATGTTTTCAAAGCGTCGATCTCTGTCCTCCTCCCCTCCGCCTCCTCCTCCTCCTCCTTCTCCTTCTCCTCCTCCTCGCCTCCTCCGCCTCCTCTCCTCCTCCGCCTCCGCCGCCTCCTCCTCCTCCTCCTCCTCCTCCTCCTCCTCCTCCTTCTCCTCCTCCTTCTCCTCCTCCTCCTCTCTCTCTCCCTCTCTCGCCGCCTCCGCTCGTCGCCGGCCCCCTCCTCCCGCCTTCTTCCCTGTTCCGGGCCCGACCCGCCTCGCCCCCCCCACCTCTTCGCCCCCTTCCTGCTCCTCCCCCCCCCTTCCTGCTTCGATACCCCCTGTGCTGCTCCCCTCGCCAAGAGATCCAACGCATTGCACAAGTATCCAGACAGAGGTTTTCCTCCAATTTCGGTCCCTAGAGGCCCTCGCCGGGCCTCGGGGCCGTCAAAAGCCGATTCAGGATGCAAAACTGGTCCTGGGGAATGGGTCGAGACTTCCGGGGACCCCGTGTTGAAAGAATCACGATCGGATCTCTGGGGTCTTCGGCGGCGAGGGAGGGAGGAAATGCCAAGGGGGAGTCCTTCTTAGGAGGTTCGGAAGTCCCCGGGCCTGCTGAGAAGAGCTCGAAGCCTTCCCCGAAGACACAGAAAATTCCCGGCAGAGGGCGCGGGGGCTTCTGAGAAGTCCCGCCGCCTTCTGAGAAGGCCTTCTCCTTCTCGTTATCCCCCCTCGCTCACCGCCGACCCATCTTCCTGTCTTCATTATCTCTGCCCCCTCCCCATCCCCTTTCGCAGACGGGAGGGAGGACATCGAGCCTCGCCCGGTGGCATCGGCCCCGTCGGTGGGCGAGGAGGCGGTGACGGCGATTTCGTCGGCAGCAGCGACGACAGTGGTGACCGTCAGGCGGAGATCCAGAGGTGTTCTGCCAGTGGTGGGCACGGACGCGCGGCAGAGGGAGGAGGTGCCGCCTGGTGTCGTCCGACTGGAGGCCAGTGCCGTTGCATTTCTACGTGCTGCAGGACCCTCCTACTCCTCCTCCGCCTCCTCCGCCTCCTCCGCCTCCGCCTCCGCCTCCGCCTCCTCTTCGTCCTCCTCTTCCTCCTCCTCCTCCTCCTTCTCCTCCTCCTCCCCTCCTCCTCCTCCTCCTCCTCCTCCTCCTCCTCCTCCTCCTCCTCCACCTCCTCCTCCTCCCCTCCTCCTCCTCCTCCTCCCTCCCTCCTCCTCCTCCTCCTCCTCCTCCTCCTCCTCCTCCTCCTCCTCCCCCTCCACCCCTCCTCCTCCTCCGCCTCCTCGTCCTCCTCCTCCTCCTCCGCCTCCTCCTCCCCCTCCTCCTCCTCCTCCGCCTCCTCCGCCTCCTCATCCTCACCGTCTCCGCATCCGCCCTCGCCTCCTCTTCGTCCTCCTCTTCCTCCTCCTCCTCCTCCTCCTCCTCCTCCTTCTCCTCCTCCTCCTCCTCCTCCTCCTCCTCCTCCTCCTCATCCTCCGCTGCCACGTAGTTCAACGTACTCCTCGCCGTCCCCCCCCCCTGATCCTTTTTTCACCTCTGTAATGTTTTGCCTTGCACATGTATTGCACCGTGTGTGCAGCAGGCACCCAGAAGCCCGTACCCTGCACCGTTGGCCTTGTCCGCGGTCTTCATACATCCTGCACTCTATTTTTGCCGTGCCTTGTCCTAGCATGCCTGAGCCTAATAAAGTTTGCCTTGCCCTGCCTTCCTCTTCCTTGTCGCGGCCACACCGCACCCCACTCCCTTATTCTGGTCCAGTGTTGGATATCATGCCCTGCTTTGCTCACCTTTATTTCCCCACAGGGTGACCTGGCGACAGGGTGGAGGTTGGGAGCCTCTGTTACTTCGGAACAGGAGTAGGAACAGCATTACCTCCGCTGACGCGGGTAGGAGTTGGGGGGGCGACTCTGGGTTTCGGAATTATAAGTGGAGGCAGAGGCACGCCGAAGACATTGCTGCGTGCAGGAAGCAATGCTAGAGCACTACTGCATCAAGACGTTGCGCTTCATGTGTGCGCATGCGTGTGCGAGGGGCCAACATCCAACCAGAACGAGAACCAACCTCAGCCGGATAGAGCGACGCGTTTCTGCTACCCCGCTGGGCCACGCACCGGCCAGCCCCAGGCCCCCAGGGCCCTGCGTATTTTCTCAAAGTTTGCACAAGAGTGCCAAGTCCGTCGCAGGCGCATGGTGTTGGGCCAGCTAGCACAATCCAGAGCCAGGGCTACACCTTAGGCGATGCTTAAGAAAACCAAAGTTTTCGGCCAGAGTCTCGATTATTCTTAATGTTTCAATGCAGATCCTAAGATTTGAATAGAAATGTTTGGTTTTTATTCAAGTTCTGAGACTATGAATTTCTTAACCAATGATTTCTTAAGCATTTCGCAGGGTGTACCGTTCACTGGGAACCACGGTGAGACACGTTGCCCCTGGCCCCCCCTCCCCAGCGCCCACCACTCCTGCGCCCCGACGAGGCCGTGGCAGTCTTCCACCGGGCCGCTCACCTCCTCTCGCCCCGACGTCGCCGCGGCAACGTCTAGCCGCCAGCAATGTTTGGCCGCCAGAGATCTCCCGACGTGAAACCTCACGCGCCCCTCAGCCCTGTGGGCGGGCGGACTGAGGAGACTTGCGCCATTCAGCCAGCCTCCCAAAGAGGAGAGACGCCGTCGGAATGCACCTAGTTCAGGTCGGGGTTACAGTTGTTCCAATATGTGTGAGTCTGGGGGCCATGCAGTGCTGACCCTGGCTGGGTACGCGACAAGGAATTATTTGCACACGGGGTTGTCGCCAGACAGCGGCAATTCTCAGGTCCGTGTTGCCGCCGCCGGGGTGTATATTTGGGACCGTGAGCAGATTGTCCCCTCAGGCATGCGAGAAAGAAAAGACAAGAGATGAGGATCAGGGTGAGGACTATGTGGACCCGGAGGGACGGGAAGAGTGAGCATAATCTGGATGAGGAGGAGGATCAGGGGGAGGACGGCTCCTGCATTTGTGGCACTCATGATTACCATCATGACGAATCGCGTGAGACAGCGAGCAATCCATGTGCGCGTGCGTGCCAAGTTGCTCGAGTTTGGCTCCGTAGCCATTCGAGCTTAGCCGCTGGTTCATGCCATTGGCTGGCTCTGGTTCAGGATGTCTTGATTGAGTCCATATTTATTCATCCAGTATCACTACCTGAACCCAGTCGAATTACATACAACATACGTGAACAAGCCATGGCCATGATGGAGGCCGTAGGCTTCCTTGCCGCACCAGCCTTAGACATCCATGCCAGCCACGGTGCCCGGCTCGCCAGACCAGCGATGAAAGCAGTAGAAGCAGTAGGTTGGCTTGCAGTTCCAACCACGGTGATGCTCTTTGTCTCCCCAGCCGAAGCGTGTTTCAAAATCTACAGGGCGAAGGACACTGGTGGATTCTCAGTTGTACCATACTATGCCGCACTCGTCAACAACACGATTTGGCTAATGTATGCCTTAACCAAGGGTATCAATCAGGTCATCCTCGTGAACAGTATCGGGTGGTGTTGTTCGGTGCTCTCTATCGCAGTGTTTCTGCAGTTTTCCCCCAAAAAGGCTGACATTGTCCTGAAGGTACTTGTGGCCACTGGCGCCTGTGCTGCAGCGTATGTGCTCTCCATTGCGCTATCCGCGCATGTTCCTCAGGTGAAGACGCTGGGTGCCATCGGAATCATTACTTCGGGAATCATGTACGGAGGTCCATTCGCGGTTGCTGCAGACGTCATTAAGACCAAGTCAGTGAAGTTCATGCCCCTGACGCCATTGGTGTTTGCTTTTGCGGCAACATCTCTTTGGACCTCTTACGCCATTCTGAAGGGCAACATGTTCGTGCTTCTTGGTAATGGTCCTGGCTTGTTCTTGTCTACTATGCAGCTGGCGCTGTATTTTATATATTCGAAGGGCTCGAAAAACAAGCTGGACGAGAGGACCCCGCTCACAGCTTGATCAGAGCTGCGCTTGAGTAGGTGAGACTTCTGTGATACAGTTGTCTGAGAGGGTATTGTACTCCTCCGTCTCCCGTTCCCCTTCTAGACGCCAAGTAGAGTTCGCACCTGTACGGCCCCATCGGCTGACCATAGGATGTGCATGTAAATACGCAGTTGGCCCCTGATAGTCTCCCTTCATCCATAGCGGGGTGGGCGCCCTGGTTGCTGACCGATGGTGTCTGCCTCTGAATATTCGCGACTGGGAGAAAGCACACGTTCGTATGTGACGCATCAGCTTCGCTTGTCAAGGCGGCGGCTCAATGTGAACATGCTGCGGGTACCCGCATCTCCTTGGATAGCAGATTCTCGCGTTTGATAACAAGCATGTGCACAGCCTATGGGTTCACTGTTATGTGCATTTCGACGCCGTGGTGAGTGAACTTCACACGGTTGTTGCGGATGTTTGGGGTTTAGTACGTGAGCTAATGTGGCCATCCAGTTGGTATAAGGATCGTTCGGGTGCGTGTACAAGTCATATGGATTTAACCCGTTGTCGTCTGGGTACCATTCTCGGACCTCCTCACCGGTTGTGGGCCTCTTGGGGTCATCTTGGCCGTCAACATCAGCGGTCTTGCGCTAGTTATGCGAATGAGTCGAGGCATTTGGGCGTGCGGGGGAATTTCCAAGCTGCTCTTCGCTTTTCGGGGCCCTGCTGGAGCCATCGCGGATGCCAGGGCGGGTATGGTCTGAGTGGCCAGTTGGGTGCGTGCAGAAGTGGTGATGGGCCTGTTTTCCACCACCACCACCATAAGTTGGAGGGGGGAAGGAGGTGGAGGACGAGGAGAGGAGGAGGAGGAGGAGGAGGAGGAGGAGGAGGACCCCCTGCCACTCCAACTTATGGTGGTGGTGGTGGAAAACAGACCCATCAAGCGGTGTGCGTCCTCTGGAGGGCTCCGTTGTTACGAATTCGAGACCATCCTTGGGCCGTCCGAGGGCGTCTGCGGAGAACGCTGGGCCTTCCACACGGGGTCGGAGAGCCGCCACTGCCATCCGTCTTGCGCCAGTTCTGTGACAGTTCGTGGCGTTCGGGCCCGCTCCGCGGAGAGAGGTCAGGCTCGCTTCGGCTTCCGAGGGCCCTTTCAATTAGCATTACTATCGGAGCCATTGTGGAGACCATCGCAGGCTGTCTCGGGCCATACTGGATATTTCGGGAGGCCGGCGCCTGTTGCGGGGAGCCTGTGGGACCCCAAGGGTTTCCTTGATCGTGACATCGAAATCTTGATAGTGAGTTTAACCACTACGCAGTGCATGTGTTGCGCAGATGTGTTTACGTAGTGTGTTTTACGCAGTGTTTGCTTACGTCGTGTGTGCGTGTGTGTTTACGTAGTGGTTTTGACGTAGTGGTTGTTTAACGTAGTGTGTGCGTGTGTGTGTGTGTTTACGTAGTTGTGTTTCACGTTTTGTGTTTGGTTTGCGTTGTTTTGTTCACGAAGTGTTTCTTGCGTAGCGTTTCTTGCGCAGTGTGTGTGTGTGTGTGTGTGTGTGTGCGTGTCCTGCGTAGTGCGTCCTGCGTAGCGTTTCCTGCGTAATGGGCCCTGCGTCGTGATTCCTGCGTAGTGTGTCCTGCGTAGTGTTTCCCGCGGAGTGTTCTTTACATAGCTTGCCCTGCGTAGTGTATGTTGCATGGAGTTTCCCGCGTAGTGGTGTTGTACGCCGTGTTTCCTGCGTAGTGCGTCCTGCGCAGCGTGTGTTTATGTAGTGGGTTCTACGTAGTGTTGTGTACATAGTGTTTTTTTTGCGTAGTGCTTCCTGCGTAGTGTGTGTGTGTGTGTGCTGTACGTAGCGTTTCCTGCGTAGTCTGTTCTACGTAGTGTTTTCTGCGTAGTGTGTTCTACGCTTCCTGCGTATTGCTTCCTGCGTAATATTTCATGCGCAGTGCTTTCTACGTAGTGGTTCCCTCGTAGTGTATTTTACGTGGCGTTTTTTTATCCGTCGCGTTTCTTGCGTAGCGTTGTCTACGTAGTGGCTCGCGCGTAGTGTTGCTTGTGCAGCGTTGTTGTTACGCAG